TAGCAGCAGTGATCACTGCTGTCAAAAATTAATTCAGGCTTAGATTATTGCTTTTGCTTCCAGACAAAAACAATCTGAAAGTCAAGTTTGAGTGCTTGGGAATTGCATGTATCTGTGTGGCTGTGGAAGTAATGGGGGAAGAATTTTGTGACAAGCCTACCAGATAAATCTGCCCAAAATGAACACAGTGAAGTGGGGTTAAAAGACACAGCAAGGAAACGCCTCTCTTATGTTTTGTATCAGCTGCAAAGTCACTGTAAGCAAGCTATTATGGCCTCATTTGCTTGTAATGACAAGCCAGAGGATGGATTGTGTATGCATAGTAATTGAATCATGACTTGTCATTACTTAAAAACCCTGCACTATGGGCTGTTAACTGTAAGCACCCCAGAGTTCACAACCCAACATCAAACCATGACTTCTTTCCCTGAAATGTATGTGGATAACAGCTTATAATTGAAGCATACTGTAGAATTCACATGTACTGGCAACCAACAATTCAATGACAACCCATAATCTGGGTTGTCAATAGGTACAAACCAGCTAAAGTCAGCATTTTTGTAGCACTTTCATTACCTTTCAGCCAAAAGGTCATGAAAAATGTGCAAGCATTCAATACTTCTAGCTTTTTTTTAAAGCAGGCAAGATGTTACAAAAAGTGAGCAGGCAGCTGGGTGGGAATAGGAGAGGGGGAAAACATGCTGACTTAGTGTGGACTCATGCCATCTGCATAACCAAACTGGAGAAAGAGAAATCTGGAGGTATTAAGTTTGGACTCTAGCAAGCCACATGTTGGACCTGGATATGCCCCAAGAACCACTGAAAACTGAGAGAGAGAGAGAGAGAGAGAGAGAGAGAGAGAGAGAGAGAGAGAGAGAAATGTGGTAGATTCCTCATTTTTGAAATTATAAAGTCCAGATGTCTCTCTCCATCCTGTATCCTTTCTGGTTGGAACACATTTAGAAGAACACATTTTTCTATTTAGAAAATGGAGCCTGTGTGCTATGCCAATTTTATGGTGGGGGGAACTATAAGAAGCCCAACCAACCTTCTAGTTAAGGAGACTGTCCCATGATTCATTTCACAGGACAGTCTCAAAAAATGCATGTATTTCTGCAATCCATTATCATTAGTCGCTTGCCTTTGTAACTCCTTTGAATAGTCAAAAGTGGACGTATTAGTGGTTGTATTAAACACAAACATATGTAAATTTTGCCAGATCTAAAACTTGTGCTGTGCTGAGAAGGGAACAGGTACAACAGCAAGACTAGTCTTGGATGCCAAACCAGAATTCCTGAAAGCTGGTCTTCAAGAGAAATATCACAAGGAACAAAGAGCAAATAAAACCTTACTTAGCATGGAAAACCATCAGCTGCTCAGATCTGTTTCTCCTGCCTACCAATCAAGTTCAGTTATGTGGAGGACTTTGGTAGCTAGACTGTTCCCACTGCCACCTCCTACTCCCCAAGATCCACCTTTGCTTGAATCTACTACGAACACTGCTCCTGAAAGCTTTGCCTCTGGATAGCCTTTGGCTCATGATCTAGGCGTCCAAAGGATTGTGTGTTGGGTCTGCAAACTGAAGAGCCATCATTCATTAGTACTGGATGGAATTCACCTCCACCTGAAGGAAAAAGTGCATAGCTTGGTTCTCACACGGATTTAGTGCTTGGGTTACTAAGTCTGCCTTTTACCAGCTTTGCTTGATTTTCTACCTCTGTCCATATCTGGCTGCAGTCATGCACTCTGCTTCCATTCAGGCTAGACTAGCATCACACACTGTATGTGGGAATGCCTTTAAAGATGGCTCATGGTTCAGCTGGTGTTGAATGTCTCCATCTGGTTGCTTGCGGGAACTAGACGAACAGAGTATATAATAAGGATTCTGTACCAGCTACACAGAACATAAAGTGATGTAATCACCTTTAAAGCCCTAAATGGTTTGGGAGCAGAGTATTTGAAGGACCATCTACTCCTCTATAGAGCTACACTAACAGGGCCTTTTTCATGTGCCTGCTACTAAGGTGATTAGTAGGCATGAAACAAGAATACTATATCAAAGAATTTTCATGTGTCCCCACCATGACTGTTTTCCAAAAGGCTATAATAATCTAGGTTTTCCAGACTGATGTCATTCTTGATTTTATACTGTAAGCTGGAGTATGTCCTGTTACTATTATTTTACATGTTTAATACTATAGTTTTAGTTTAATTGTATTTTAAATTCTTTTGCTTTATAAGTTTATCTTGCAAATCTTGCCTTGCAGGAAGGCAATATTTATTTATTTATTTGTTTTTCCAATTTATATCCTGCCTTTTTCCTACAAAGGGCTCAAGGCAGCTTACATCATTCTTCTCCTCCATCTTATCCCCATAACAACAACCCTGTGAGGTAGGTTGGGCTGAAAGTCTGTGACTGGCCCAAAGTCACCCAGTTGGCTCCATGGCTGAGTGGGGACTAGAACCCAGTCCCAATATATAAACATTTCAAACTAATAAAGAAATAAATTTGAATCCTCCAAAAGGACACCTCCTCAATGACTGTCCTTCCTGACCTCTGAGATAGGAGATAGGTTTGATGGGGAGGGGGTTTGATAGAGGCATCGGGGTCTCCAGTTCTTCCATGAAGGATCTAAACTCAGTTCCTGATGCCCATTATTTTATTATATCCCCAGACCTTCATAAAAATCCCAGGGGAAAAACAATATTAAGAACAATGAACAGTATGATACAAAAAAGGACTCTAATTACATCAATCAATCAGCAGCAAGAAAACAAACAGCCAGTGTAACCCAACTAACCACACATAAATGCCCAAGTCTTAGTCTGGTAAGACTTAGTAAGTTGGTGCCATTAAGTCTTCTTGGGGGAAGGCATTCCAAGGTTGGGGTGCCACTGGAGAGAAGCCCCACTATGAGATAGCCATATCTTTTCTTTGGCAGATGCAAAAACAGCTGGCATGGGAGAGCTTTGAGCTGGAAATTGGCCAGAAGGGGAAGATCCACATTTCCTCTATTATTTTTTTTTTGCATACAGACTCACAGCTTAGCGGGGCTGCTTTTGGTTAAAGCAAACATTCATTCCCTGTTTCCTTTGGGCCTGCCTCTGAGTCTTGCCAACTTCTGGCAGCTATTAAGACCACCTTAGCTTACGAGCATGCGCTCTGCCAGAAGAAGCAATCCATTTCCAGGAATGATCTTTCGTCTGGTAGAAAGTGTGACAAGTACCCTCTCATCAGCCAAGCCTACTGCACAGCTGCCTGGAGTTACTCTTCTATTTTCCACCAGACAATAGATGGTTTCCTGAGCCAAGAATCCTGGAATTGCAGAGTCCACATTTTCCCAAATCAAATTAGTCCAGAATAGTATTCCTTAAAAGTACTAGTGAAATCTGAAAGCAAAAGGCACTCACCTATTAAAAGCAGCTTCTCATTTCTAAGCCCAAGGAACTTCCTGCCACTAGGGATGCAATTCCCAAAAGTTCTGAACTTTGGCAGCACAGTGCAGTGGAATCCAAAATGGGAGAAATATTGCTCAAAGCTACGTTTGTCCCTTTTCTGCTTGCCTTTACTCTCACAATTCAATGCTAAACAGCCATTTTTGTTGCTATTCTGCTACCAGGTTTCTGCCACAGGAGAACTGCTATCCCCAGGATGACCCAAGGGGTAGAAGATGCCATCCAACCCTAAAGAGCACAGTGGTAACTAATTTCATCAGCAGACTTGTCAGCTGAAGCAGGACCCTTAGTAGTTGCAACTTCCCATCTGCAACTTCCATCATCCATTCCTTTTTTGGGATTGGATCACTCACAGATTTGGGTGATGAAGTCATGCTGAGCACAGCAACAGCAACTGATCTGCTGCACCTACCCAGTTTCCTAACTTCAATTTCTTTCCACGTAGGAAAGCTCATGTCAGGACGAGAGGTCAGTAAATTGGGGGATGCCCAGGGCAGGGAGATGCCCTCAAGCATAACTGGTAGGTATCACAGGATACCATGAGGAGTGCCTCCTCATGAAGCTAAGAGTTACTAGCATGCAGCAGTACATGCTGAGGTAGATCCCTCTAAGAGTGACAACACGTGCCTCATATGCCTGCCCCATCTCTCTCTGTTCTCCATTTCCCTGCCACGGGAGGAAGACCTGGGAGTGGCAGGACAGGATTCCACAGAGTTCAGTTGGCAGGATCTGTTAGGCCCTCAGTTTGGTCACCTGAAGGAGTGCCCGTCTTCCATGAAGCTTCATGAATACTACACTTCCGTGTGAATACTGCTCAGGTTCAAAGATCTACTACTACTCTGTGTAGGCTCCTAACTGTTGTGGAATGTGACACTAAGTAACAAAGAGAATACACAAGATAAGCACAAAGGTGCAAGCACAAACAACTGTATGGTTTTGCCATCACAGCCCGGCAAAAAATTATTGCAGATGCCCACATTCCTTTCTCCTGTTGTATTAAGGACTTCAGATAAGCTACATAGCAGGAGGAAGGTGGATAAAATGGGCTGCTGAATATCCCACTTCATTAGAACATTAAAAGTTTAACAACACTTGGGATTACAACTGAGCAACCCAAGTCCAAAGTATTTCCTTGCTCTGTGTTCCCAGTACTTCAACAAGTGCAGATGTCCAGGCAGTGCTCCAGCTTCACTGAAACGCTGAAGAGTTGTGGTCCTGGCCTAGCCCTTGGTTTACAATTGCAGCCTTAGTTCCGCTGATGCTCTTCTCCAGTTTCATCACAGTCAGTTTTCCCGCCTTCCCACCTTCTTATGGACAACAAGCAAAGAAATATTAACATGCAAAAGCTTGTTTTAAAATTATCCTTTATTCAAATATCTATTCCAGCTTCTTGCTAACAAAGATCTTAGATGGCACAATCACCACAGAATAAAATATTCACTGTTCCCATCCCATCCCTAATCTCATATTTTAATTTGCTAAGTGGTTCTATTTGTCAGCCTTCAAAGCACATTTGAAATTTAAATGTTTTCAACCCCATGATGGCACATTAGTGTGGAAATATGCTACTGCTTTTTAGATAAACAATATAATGCAAAATATTGGGCATGTGTGTAAACAACATGGGTTCAGGAACTAAGTGACAACAGAGTCCAAAGAAAACATTTTCACATTTCAGTGAGTATTAATAGTATACACACTATATCTGCAATCATGGTTTTCAAAAGCCTAGTAAAAAGTCAATAAGTAGAAATGAATTCATTTGAATGGAATCAGAAATGAAGTTTATTCTTCACTGAATACTAATCATTGGCGGATTTGATGAGATTTCTGAAGTTCCTTTTGGCTGGCTCGGAGCAACTGGTATAACTCAGAAAGAGAATCTGGAGGAGTGCTCTGGACATGCGCAGCAGTATCTTTGCTTCCTGATTCTGCACATTCATGAACTGCTTTTTGTAACTGCAGCTGCAGGGGAAAGGAGATGGCAGATCCTCTGAGGTTTAGAGAGAACCAGGGCCGAAATATTTTATCACAGATGACCTGTGGAAGGGAGGAAAAAAATCTTGCTTTTAGAAGTCATACGTTCCACAGTTTTCCAGTTCCACCACACTTCACACAGAATGATTTTACAAAGGTAGACAACCTATTTGGACAGAAGAATGAGTCAGCAGACAACAAAATACAGCACGTGATCTGCCATACTTCTTGTAATAAGGAAATGTCAAGAAGATGGCCATCATTCCAGGCCAGATCAATGTGCCACCTTGCTCAGCAGTGCCAGGACAGGTGCCATTGTGACAATGTCCAGCATGTTGATCTCCAGCAGACTTGTCCTAATCAAAGAAACAATGAATGCAGGAAGTTCCAACATACTTTCGAAATATCCACAACAGGACCAAATTTCAGCGGAAAGAAGATTTAAACACATAAATCAAACTGTTTGGGGCAAACAAATTCATTTTCCTCTTCTAAAAAAATAGAAAGCTCTCAACCTCAACTGCAGAAGCTCTGCTGAGAATTGTAATGGACTTTGGAGGAAAGTGGATGTCCTTTTAAAGGAAACTATACTTTAGGTCAGAGGCGGGCAACGTGTGGCCATCCACATGTTTTGTCTTACAACTTCCATCATTCCTAGCCTGCACCCCAGTAGGGAGAGATAATGGGAATTGTGGGTCAAAATATCTGTAGGGCCACAAGTTGCCCACCCCTGATGTACGCCTTTAGAGCTTCTGGCTACCAACAAACCTTTCCTCTGTGTATTCTACTCAGGGGTGATAGGGCAGCCATCTTAGCTAAGCATCTCTTTAACTGAGGGCAGAGTCTCTTCCAGATAAACAATTTATTTATTGTTGTGAGCCGCCCCGAGGCTTCGGCAAATGGGGCGGCATAGAAGCTTCCTAAATAAGTAAATAAATGTAATGGAGATTATGATGTAAGATCACCACCCTCAGGCCATGGGAGGGGCAAGTAAACAAGTAACAGAAAGGGTGCAGTCATGTGGGGAGGTTGCATTTCCAAGGCAACAGAAGTGAGACTTATTTCCATGTGAAGAGCAAGCTTCATGAAACTTCATGATGTGTGTGTAAGGTACACACACAGTTCTATCAGTTATCTGCACCCAACAAGCCTCTGAAGTCTGTGGACTGGAACAATAGTTTCTTATAGAAGAATACTCCAGCCAGCACTTCCTACTGTGTGGACCTCACACCCAATCAAGACAAAACAGAGACCAATGAGGAAGGGAATGCCCTTCTCTTTGTGCCAGCCATACTGGTTTTCTAATGTCACAGACTGACCATGTACAACATAAGCAAACTTGCACTTAGAGCATGCTTTCTCTTTCTCACAAGCACACCGGAAACATATACCAAGATAAGATACCATTTTGAAAGAGCAGTCCTACATAAACCCAGCACTGAGGACAGCTGGGACAAAATTTACTGGAATGGATCTATTCATCAGTCCATGCAAGACGCCACTCAGGACTGGGTAAGATTTTTGTCTGGAACACTGGAAAGCAGCTGCCAATTGGTACTGATAATACCAAGCCAGAGGAATTCGGCAAAAGGCAGACTCCTCTGTTCTGACATAGTGACTTGATCTGAGAAAAGTCATTTGGACATGAAAATCACCATTCAGGGCTGCGGTCCTCAAGTGACCCAAATGCATCTTCAAGCAATCCTTTAGGGATTCTCATAGGATCATTCATTTTAATTTGCACTGTAGAGTATATTCTAAAGAAAAATCATGCATCCCGTAATAAACAAACCGGCAGCCACTCACTTGAAGGTTGTTATTGGCTCTCTGGGCTCCACATTTTCTGCTCTTCAGGTCACACTTTGAAAAGCAGTCAAAAAAATTGCAGTCTTCATCTCCTGTGCAGTTCTGTTCAAGGATGTCCCTCATTTTAGGTTCAAAAAAAGCCATATCTACATCAATAGCGACTACCTGCAACCAGAATCATGCAGTCAAGGTGACATACTTGGAGGTGAACCACAGTGCACATGGCCACTTCTCTGCTTCCAAGTCCCGAGACTGCTGATTCAAGCATTCCAGGATAAATAGAGGAGAAAATTAGAAATTACAAGTTGGAAGAGCTTTTGCTGATGAGCTCTGCCATCCAGGGCTGGAAAGAAAAATGCAACCATGACTTTTGTGCAAAAGGAAAAAAAGTCAGATCTTCTGGGAGATGAGAAAATGCCAGGCACAGCACTATTTAGTTCAAGTCTCCTTAACCATGGAAGTGATTCTCTATGAGGATGTAAATTCTGTTTCTTTGATTCTAACCAGTCTCATTTTTAAGCATTTCCTCAAAACTAGGAGCATTACAGGAGCTGTCCAGCAGGAAACGGATGCTTCCTACAGCTCAGTGAAACAGCACATACTTTTTATAAAGCACAACTTTTCAACCTCGCAACAAAATGTTGATAGCTGCATAAGCAGAGGAAAGAGGGGAAACATCTATATTCCACCAACCTATTGGAAGTGTTCTGCTGTTCTAATTGCCACGACAGCAACATATCTGGCATTCCACTGGCATGGTGGGGTTTCTGCTCAATCCCATAACCTAAAGGCCCAATCCTATGCATGTCTAGACAGGTAAGGGGCCTACATTTCTTAGCTTGCCCCAGCTAGCTATGCTGACTCAGGCATGCTGGGAGTTGTCTTTTTTTCAGACTAAACTTGCACAAGATTGTGCCCTCCGAGACCTCCTGGAAAAAGGAGTTGATGCAGCTACTAATGATATTTGCTTGCCAAATGGATGTTTCTTTTATGTCGACTGTGAATTGGAGTCCCTAAGCTGTCAATACAACATGCTTTTGTGAGTGCTCTTTTCACTTGAAAATAGCAACATCAAAAGGAGCTGGAGAAGAAAAAGCAGCTTAAAACCTACAGCAGTCTGAGTGACATGGAGAAAGTCCTGCCTTTCAAATGGCCCTCTCATTTCTGCCACAGACCTATCACTGCAAGCATTTTTCAAAGACTTCTTAGGAAGCTTAGAAGAGTAACATACCCTAGGGCCTTTCACAAGTTCATGCAAGCAATATAAGAAACACATCTCATTTTTTATATATTCAGGAGCACACCATAACTTCTTAGAATTTCTATATTGTTCAGAAGTTCCACTGGAAAGTGTTTCCAGCTTCCGCTTTTTGTTTTGTTTGCTAGGATGCATATAATGAGGCCAGAAATAAATCATGGGCCAAATTTTATGCTCTGTACATAAGATGCCCAACCTGGGAATATTAGGAATGTTATGCAGATTTTCCAAAAGCTTTATGTAAATTCTCATATCTGTGCAAGAAAACACTCATACATTCAATTAAAAGAATAACAGCCTATGATCTTTTCTAATCATGTAGTGGCCATTTTATTAGCTGTTGCAGGAATGAGTCTGACTGGAAAAACTGGCAGCTAGTGTGGCACCTCAGGATCCAGCTGTGTACCAAACAGGAGTCAACAAAACAAAGCAAAAAAACCCTTCATAAACATACAAAAGAAAATATCGGGCATTTATATTAATATGAGCTTCCAAAAATCAGATATGGTCTTGGTATATTTGCCTTCCAACCACATATTTTCTGTGCGTTTAATTAGTACGAATGGTGAAATGATGTTACTTGTGACTCTGAGTTAATGTGGCAGGTTTCCTTCCTATGTATGCTTCTTCACTCGTGGCTGAGCTATCACACCACCTTTGCCACTCATTTTCCTGTGAATCAGCATAAGATTTTATGGCATCAAAGGATTCTCTGCTCAAAGCATTTATTGTGCACTTGGGATCCCCCACTCATGGAAGTTTGCAAGCCCTTTTCATTGTGCATTTTTTTTGCTATATAATATCAAATGCAAAACAAAATGGGATGAAAATCTTACGCATTTTTGCAATACCTTTGTTCCCCAAGTTCTCATTTCCACCAGCCCTCCATTTTTATTCCTTTTCTGTTTGGTTATGTAGGATCTAGAAGAGGCTTTTGCCTGCCCATGAGCCCCCATCATGGCCTTTTAGACAGAAGTGAAATCTTTGCTTATTCTCCTGAGTCAATGAAAAGTCAAAAGGCCTCAACCATTGTTGGGCTGCCTAAGTTTCAAGGACAATTAAGTAACTTACCCCATAAGCCAGGAACCAGTGGAAGGTCAGCCCAGCCCTACTGGAATATCTATGGGTAGACTGGTGAGGATTTGCAACTCTCAGTTGTTCAATAATAGCAATGTCAAATGATTTTGTTCCACCCTGACCTACACTGCTCAAATGAAGAATCCTTGGGGTAACTAGGAATGGATTGTGTAATAATTGCTTTTGGATAAGTAACATTTAATTTTCAGTCCTACCTCTCCCTTGTCCTCTTCTCTCTACTAACTTCCAGCAAGGTACTCTCTGCACCTGCAGGCCAAGTTAGCAGCATTTTGGGTTCCTATCTCTGCCACTGTCGGGCCCTCAAATGTCTGACCCCGTTTTCCTCTCCTGTTTCCTTATTAGAAAGTAGCCTTTCTTCCCTCTCCCTCTGCCCCATGCTGACTTGCCACTCTGTTTCAGTCCTCTCCTCTTTTTCTCCCCTCCAGAAATCTATCTTCTCTGTAGGATTAGCCTCACAACTGCTGGTCCCATCCAAATGCTACCCTGCACATACTGCCTTGAAGTTTGGAATAAATGGCATGTTTGATGACTCTAAGAGTTTGGTTGAACATGTTTTTGTATTTGCTCTCCATTTGAGTATCCTTATTCCTCCAGTGGTGCAGTATAGTTTTCAGCTACTCTTGGCACATGCCAATCAGATGTATATACAAGGATTGGACACCTGTAGGCAGGATCATGCAGTTGTACAGCAACACTAGGGAAGAGCCTGCAGTGCTTTGTGAAAACCTCTGCCAACATCTTCTGTGTTCTTGTCTGATCATGGGCTACTCAGTCATATCAAGTAGAGGTACATAGCAATCATGCTGAATTTGGCTAAGCAAAATGACCCAGAACAAATCCTTTCTACTTCACTTTATAATTCAAATTCGGGTGTGTCTTTCTTTTTTCCTGCTTCCCACCCATTCCCTAGGTTCTAATTATGCACCTGAATAAACATCAAAATAAATGAGAGGGGGGAAATATTGCTTAATTCACTGCATGCTTAACCTTTGCACAGCACTTCCAAGTGTGAAGTTCTATGCGTATACTTAATACTCGGTTGGCAGCTGTGCTAATGAACGTTTCTCACTCTACAGGGAGAAACTAATTTGCCCCAAGTTAAACTGAAAGCATGATTTGAAGACCCTTCTACAGAAGACTGTGCCCTACAAAAACATCCAGCTAAGGTCAGTACTTAGCTGGGTTTCTATTCCACCTCTCCCCAAGACTTTTGACATGTTAAAACAAAACCAGCAGTGTCAAGCCTTATTCGGTTTCAAGCATGCCCCCTCCCCCCATTGTCTGGAAATCCAGTGTAATTACCACCCATACTCTTCCTCTGGATAAACTAAAAGCTGGCCCAAGGAGAGCCAGTGTGGTGTGGATGTGAGAGTGCTAGACTGGGAACCTGAGAGATCCAGGTTCTAGTTCCCATTTGGCCATAAAGTTCATTGGGTGACTCTGGACCAGTTGCTCCCTCTCAGCCTCATAAGGATTGTAGTTCTGAAGATAAAAAAAAAACGGAGAGGGACTAGTCACCTTGGGTTCCTTGCAAGAGGAAGAAAGGTGGGATATAAACGCAATGCACTAATAAATACTATATTTTACCACACTTCTAGAAGATGCTCAAGGCTAGGATTTGTATCTCACACAGCTCCACGATGATGATGAAGTCATCATAAACCATCACTGGTACCTCTACTTCCACTTTTGGGGCTGCAAGTACCATTGCTATCATAGCCAGACCGGGACAAGCCATTCACTAGAGAGGTCTCAGCAGGTTTGTGGGAACTACAAAGTTTTCTGATGTGCACCAAGTCATCTTTACACAATGACAGGATGAGGGCTGAGCATGCTGCGTGCCATGGAATTCTCCCTGGCTCTTGTGGTGGCCAGAAAAAAAAAGAGGTAGAAGGATAATATTTAAGTGTCATTTTAATTGTTAATATTATTTGCTTATTTTATCTGGCCAGGGCAACTTATTTTATATTGTTATTTCTTGTATTTTAATTTTATGTTGTGAGCTGCCCCGAGGATTCGGCGAATGGGGCAGCATAGAAATGTTTTAATAAATAAATAAAAATAAATAATAGAATGAAGTATCATCAGAGGAGGACATGGTGGACTGGCTAAAAAAACACAAGTACACCACAGTACAACATTGTGGTGCAGATTCTATTGCCTGTTCTTAAAAGAAACACAGTCCTCCCATTGCCATTAATGGTACCATCCACTACACAACAGGATATAACATGGCTTGGAGAAATTCTAAGATTTGCAGTATTAAATAGGGAAACAGGAGAAATTCAGCTCCCCAACAACTCAGTGAAGACTGAGCATATTCATTAATTGCAGAAGGTTCTGGATGAATGGGAGGATGAGGCAGTGGAATGGAGAACAGGGCATGGCTGTTGGCTGGAACACTGGAGCACCCTGAAGAACCTTGCAATATTTTGATGCAAAATCCATTTGTTTTGTCCATCATTATCATTTGATTTGGACACACGGCTTGCAGATTCAAGAAACCCATCACTCAGACTGTAGTGCTACACAGGAACTAAGATGCACTCTCATAATAATGCAAGACTCATACAGTGTAACTTGAAACATTATGAAGGTTCAGCACCCAAATTTGCAAGGCCACTAAATACAGGAATATAGGAAGCTGTCTTAAATGAGTCAGACCACTGGCTGATGTAACCCAGTATTGCTGATGCTGATGGCAGTAGCTCACCCAGGTTTCAGTTGGGAATTTTCTGGTCCTACCTGGACATGCTATGGATCAAACCTGGGACCTTTCACATACATAGTATATTCTCTACAGCCCCTCCGTCCACAACTCTTTGCATATATTATATCAACAAAAAAGAAGATAAGATCCCTTTGGTTATAAATAGAATGCTATCTGTGTTCACAACTTCAGTTATGAGAATGAATTATATTATTTAGCAATTATTTATTAGACTTGATAAATCATCCTGAATTATACACTTAGGCTGCAATCCTCTATACACTTAGCTGGGAATAAGGTCCACCATATTCAGTGGAGCTTACTTCTGAGTAGTTATTTATAGAATTGTGCTGAGGCACCAAAGGTTGGGGTCCTAACTTACCGTCAGATCATTTCTGATGGCAAAATTTTCTGGTTTGATGTCACAGAGATGAAGCCGGTGAGAAAAGTCATTGTCAAAATGATTTACCATATCCAGAAAGCTGATGGCAATTTCAGTGATGGCCTTAGCTTTGCTTTTAATTCCAGAGAAGGAGGTACCAACAGCCTCTTCAACAGAAAAGAGAGTTTTGTGCCAAGCATGTCCAGCTGTCAAATACTCCACAGCATAGAAATGGCCACAAGAGCCAATGACCCTTAGGACATGTTTACTAAAATCTTGCAAGACACTAAAATAAATATATTCTTCTTGTTGGAGTAAGGACCACATACTAGCCAGCTGTGCTTTCCAGTGTGGACCTCTTCTCTTTGTCCACAAAGGTCCCATAGTGTTATTGGGAAGTTCTAAGCCCAGAACACTCTTGATTTCCAATGCAACCATAAGAAGCAGTTCTGCCTCTGGAATACCCTGTGATTCCATTTCCTCCAGAAAGCTGAGGTGGTGGTAGCTAGAGAATATTTCATTTTTTGATTTCAGGATCACTGGGCGACCTCTCCAGTCAGCTTGGATGACCTTCTTACCTCTGTCATAATAAAGGCAACGTTTGTATATCAATTTCTGTTCCACACACAAGTCTTCACAAAGGTCCCCTGTCAAAGCTCCTGTCCTGTAGTCAAGACACTAGAGAAAGATGGAAATCAATACACATTTGATAGTCAAAAGCTGCCATTTACAGTCACCTTGAGAAGTGGGGAGAAGAAGAATCACCTCAGGAGTTTCATATTTAAAATATATTTTCCATTTGTGGTAGACAGAAGACTAACACAGAGAAGGGGGCAGGTTTGAGGGAATTGTTTGCCATATTTACTGTTTGTTTTTCCTGAAGAACTGGAGGAAAAAAGTCTTCCTAGGCGGCTTATGCTTGGAGCTTTGCATCTGGCACACTTTGCCAACAAGAGCCAGTATATTGTGGCTCAGTAATTCAGTCCCTGTGCTTTTGCTCTGAATATGGAGTGCTGGGTTCAGATTCCTATCAACCACACTAAGGTGGTGTAGCAGCAGGTCACTGGCTTGGGTCTAATGCATTTGCTATGTGCCCTTGTGGTTAAGGGTCCAAATCACCATCCAGAGAGCAAGTCAAAGCCTGCTGATTGAACCCCTGCTTCCCCTGCCCACCATAATTTCTTCTGCTGCACCTAAAACGATCTAGCAAAAACCATACAAGTGTGTACCACAATGAATCGCACTGACAAATGTAAACAGAAGCAAAATGATAGCGGCACCCTGGGTGCTTACACAGGACCTGTGTCATAAGAGACAGGAAGCAAGAAGACAGCAAGAGAAAGGAAGGCTCCACTGAAGCCAGTGAACATACTACTGTTGGTTTAACCAAACCCGATTCAGGGCAGAAATTTCAGCCTGCCCACTGTTCATTCTGCGATGGAGCAGCATTAGGTCAATCGTTATCTACCAAACTGAGAATATGCAAGGTTTCAAAACAATTGCAACAACATGTTTGTTCAGCAAAGCCAGGAAGTCTCTTCATTATAGTCATAAATCACTGGACATCCACTGACAAAAGTACAGAAGTATTCATAAGAGAAACATATGAATATACTGGAATGGCCTGTGTGTTCTGAAATTCATGACTGAGAAACCAAGCAAGAGGAGGAGGAGGAGGAGGAGGAGGTCACTTCTAAAGTATGCAAGGAATAAATGCAAGAATTTCCCCTAATGGCCCCTTCCTCCACTCATAATTGTTTCCATTTCTCCACTTTTTGGACTGTAGGCAGTCTGCACATTCCATCTGGGCTGTAGGCAGTATGTCCATACAGACCTTGCAGAAGTGCAGCTGCAAAGGCTATTCAGAACAGATCTCTGGAGAAGATGATCACTGCTTCAGGCTAGGGCAAAAGATGCATAAAACCACACAGACAGATGGTTGAGTGATACCGGCTTCCATCTCTATCTTCCCAAACCCACTTTCCTACAGCTATCATTTTCCTACACTATGTTTGGTCAGGCTCCTTGAAAAATGTTGGACCCTAGAAAACATAACTCTCCCGGGCCTTTCTCAGGCCTCTCCAGGCCAATTACCCATTCCCAGGTTTCTGCCAATGGGTTCTGAGTGGAAGACTGAAAATGTAGCAGCAATTCCAGTCTGTCCAACTACAGATAGTATATTATATTTTTCAAGTGCTGAGTGAACCTTTTGGATGTTTTGCTTGAGTTGCTGAATTATATTAGAACACCTCTGAAAACTGTCCCAGATGGCTGGTTTGGAGCTGCTTTCACACGAGTGCCTCCTGGTTAAAGGTTTAGGAGAAGCCCTGTGTGCCTCCAAAGCTGACTAATTTAAACAAGAGAGACCAAGCCTAATCTCTCCCTCATGGGATGCTGTTTGCGGTAGTCCCAAGATGAGCCAGCTGTATTTTCAAGTGCATCAGTATCCAGTCTGCCACCTCTTTTCTGCTCATTTGATTGCACCACAACTAGCACATGTGGGACCTCCTGCAAGTTGCACTGACCTATTTTGCAAGTTGCTATTCCAACTTCCAGAATGCTATTCCAGAAATTAGCATTTAGCTGCATTCCTAGTTGGATGAGGAACTGGTAACCTCCCCCTATGAACACATGGGGCACAATTACATACTGTCCCTGGTCTCGACAGCTGGCCAAAGTTCTGCTGAAATTGGTATCAGCCTTCCTATGCAATTTACAAAACATCAATTAAATAGCTACCTCATGATCAGTCAGCTAAGTAATGCATAAAATAACTAGTATTTCCTTTCCTAACTTGGTTAGAACTTTGGCATACCAGCCTAGGACAAGTTACCTGATGGACTGTCTCCCCTTATTTGGATGTGTTAGACCACTATGATTTTCAGAGGAGACCTTGCTGTTTCCTGCACAATCCTGTCTTGCAGCAACACAACAATGGGTTGCCTCTGTGCTGTTCCCCTCCTTCTAGAATGACCTCCCTTCTATAAGACTCAGGGTACCAATCATCATGTGCTTTCACCAGTTATTAAAAACTTCCTTGCTTGCCCTGGCTTTTCCCAATCATTAACTTGTTTAAATATTGCTGTCCTTGCATAACGATATTGTTGTTTTATAATTTGGAATTTGTTAAATGAGAATAGGTAAGTAAATGTTCTAAAGGAATTAAATAGACTATTGCCCATGATGATGTCTTGAAGCCATGACTTCCAAAGAGTCTTAATATGTTCTCTAGTAAGGATGGGAAACATGTGGTCCCCCGGATGTGGTTGGACTCCAACTGCCTTTATCTCTTACAATTAGCTGTGCTGGCGGGAATTCCAGTCGAACACATCTGGAAGATCTCAAAGTGCACCCAGTAGTATTTTTGTACTAATGGGAAGCACTTCCATCAAGCAGGGCAGAGCAGTCAAGTTTCACTGACTCTCCCACACACTGTAGCCTCGTGTACCATATCCCATGCTATTTCAGAGTGCCCTCACTGCTGAGGAGCAGGTTTGTGGGGAGAGGACAGCAGACTGCAGTGGGGAGTCTGGGGTGCCCTGCCTTGCATGAGCAGAACTCCTTCCCACTAGTGCAAAGCTACCTTAAACATTTTGTCTTTCGCTTCTGGAATGTTTACTTTAGCAAGCACTATACAAACTCTGGTATTCTATTTGTTTTCCTGACAACATTACTGTATGTCATATCACAGCTAGCAAATTTCAAGTAATTAATTAAGCAAATTTAAGACACGGTTCCAGGCCATTCCAGGAATCAAATCTGCATACATTGCTAGTATCCAGATTCTTAGAGGTCTTCCAAGGTCATGAGAGCCTGGGGCTAAACCAAATGGCTGTGTGTAAAGTAATGTACACAATGGTAAATGCTACTTTGTGAGTGCCTGTACAAACATCTGTGTGTGGACACATAAAACCTGGATTTAAATAGTAACACTGACTTTGCCTGAAGCCAGTCACAGATGCAAGTAGTGCAACATGGCAGATATAAGTAAATTTCAGAATACAGTATCTTTTTAGAACCAATTGCTAAAACAATCCAATTCCCATTGTAATAATGGCTGGTGCCCCCTTTGCCTTTGTTTTTATCCACTTTTCAGCATGTAAATGAAATACAGGCTACAATGCTATACAAGGCTTACTTTTGAGTAGATACACATAGGATTCTGATATACCATTGTGATCCTATAAACATATTTAACTGATCTCACTGGGACTAACTTCTGAGTAGAGAGGTCCTGCAACAAAGAATCAAAATATTTTACTAAAAACTGCCACCCACACCCGCAGAGAGATCATCCAAAATACAAAGCATTTACCCTGTTTAACTGCTTTGCGACCTGGGCTGCAAACAAGCTGTTTGGCCATGGATTGACTGGAAAATGGGTCTGTTTGGTCATAAGACAATTTAGCTCCTTCAGATGCAATAGGATGGGATAGGCTGGATTCAAGTGCAGTAGCCTGATTTATCTGGTTTGTGGATAAGGCTGTAAATAATGGTTCTGCTTCAGGCCAAAGGGAACAGTGCAAATGGGATTCTCAAAGTTATGTCAGATACCTCCAAAGTATTTTGGAGCTCCAGCATGTCTCTGGAGGAAATGGAAAATATTCTGCATCTCAGAGGTTTCCAAGCTTTGCAGCTGCCTGTTGGAAGAGAAGTATTCACTCTCTTACTACTTTCAAGAAGTTGGCAAGGCTGCAGTAGATCATTTGTCTTTGTTTATTATGCAGAACACAGAGAAATTTATAGTCATCAATATCTTGCTACCATAATAGATTATTTAATTTCCTTTACGGTTTCTTTCCCATTTAACAAAAGCCATTTACAAATAAAAGAATGTGGCTCACTGTTTAACCCTTCCTATTCCCTGTGTAAACTAACAAACGATTCCTTTCAACATTATTGTGAAACGCAAACATACAGTATTTGGTCTGAAAATGTTTGCAAGTCATAGTTCAAACCAAAAAGCCATTCATTTTAACATCCAGGTATTCTGGTTTAAACCGTATGTACAGAGGGTGGATAGTCTATGCCTTTCAACTGAAGGCACATTTTAAGGGTAGTAGTGAATTTCTACTAGTAGCGAAGAAAGGTTTTTATTATTCTTACATGATTGAGAAAACAACAGTAACAACACACAGGCCAAAGTGTGGGAAATGTTGGAATATTTTTTCTACTTTATAAATACACTGTACATGTATATATCACAGACAATATGGAACAAATCTTTCTTCCTAAAGCTACTCTAAAATAGTACATTATCTTTCATCACTGCAAAGAGATAGATATGGTCTACAGATGTTCCAGCTGACCAGCCTCCACTCGTCTTTAAAATCCACTAGGCTAGGAAATGCTAACTCTTCTGTTTGCCTTCAGAATATTTTATCAGTTAGTCTCAGCAGCTGAGCACTCTGTCTTATTTAATTCTCAGTGACTGGTGCCTAAAAGTGTAAATGACAGCCATAGCAGGGAATGCTTTGCAAGCAGCAGATTATTTTCCTTAATCAGCAGCCTCAGCCTGGCATCTTTCCTTGTTTCCCAAAAGCACCGGCAAACCTACATCAGCATGGAGTGCTCGTCTCCTGGTGCCTTTCATGCCAACGCATTCACAAATCCCCTATTCATGAGATCAAGTGTTCGGTGGTTCCCATTAATGGCTATTCAAAAGACTGGTCCTTTATGATCCATGGGACACAAATGAGCATTGACGGAAAGCAATCCATTAACTATGGCACAGCCCATGGAGGAACAGGAATGAAATCACATGGTGTGGAATAAATTGGGGACAGCATGTTACCATGCCATTTACTGTTCTAGGATTGCGCTCTCCTGTTCTTGTTTGTGTTGTACTCCACTGCACAGCAACCCCATAGCAGAACAAAGTGGAAACCTATTTTATTTTTTCAAGACAGTGCATTCCTTTTCTCCTGACGCACACGCCTTCCTTGACTGGGAAAGAAAATGAGGCTGTGAGTATGGGTCCAGCTATTTCCTCCAACAAGGTTGTCTTCCAGGCAATGGGCTATTATCCAACAACTGTAAAGGGATGGAACATCATTGAAAACAACAAGCAATAGGCTGTGCTCAGACTTCTCTGAGTGGCTTACAGAAAGGAATATTGTGCTGCTAGCAATGTACGGGACTAGCAAAAGTACAGCGATGAGGGAGGAAATCACATGTATGATCTTAAGAGCTTGTTTTAAAGTGGGCGAAGAGCGGGCGAGAGTTGTCCTCATCAAATCCACTTCCTTTCATCGAAGGAAGGATAATGAGGAAAGCCTCAGAAGCTAAGCACAGATCTAGGGCAGTTTCCTATAAGAAGAGCCCATTCCTGAGATATGTTTGGTCCCAGGCTGTTTCAAACGGGGGTGCCAAACTTCCTTAGTACTGAGGCTCACATTCAGTGTCAGGTGGAGAACCAGGGACCATCCACATATGCACACACACCCCAACACACACCTACACACATACACCAAAACTACTCGAGATTTTTTAATGAGAAGAGCAATAACACACTCTTCTCCCCTGCCCTCACACACATACCTCAGTGCTGAAGGACAGGGCAGGTTTAAATTCTCTTCCCTGACTACTGAGGACAAGGGATCGCTGGGGGTTGAGAGGATTCTACCCCACCCCCCAGTAGTCCCCAGTGAGACTGCTGCTTCTCCACAATTAGCAGAGTGACTGTACAAGACTCTCTTGTTTGGTGCACCAGAACGTAACATGCATATCTTCCTCAACCTCTGCTCTCCATTAATCACCCTAATAACAGCAGCTCGCATCCATGCATGCTTACTCAATAGTTAAATACTACTACATTCAATAAGACAGAATCCTGTATGTATTGAGAGCCTGCATGGTATAGTTGTTAAGAGCATGGGACTGGAACTCAGACGACCTGGATTCGAGTCCCCGCTCAGCCATGGAGCCAACTGGGTGACTTTGGGCCAGTCACAGACTCTCAGCCCAACCTATCTCACAGGGCTTTTGTGGGAATAAGCTTGAGAGCAAGAGGAGGAGGATTGTGTAAACTGCTTTTGAGTTCATGGTGGGGGGGGGGGGAAGCAGAATATAAATCCAATAAATAAGAAGTATGCATAGAATTGCAGCCATTGACATTTAGCAGAACATACTCCTACAGGAACATGTTGCAAATTGCAATTCAGTGCACATATGTGAGAGGAAGCTCCAAGTGAAGTCATGGGGGATTTCTTCCTACGTGGAAAGGACCAGGGTGTTGCCTGAACTCTGAAATGGAAACTGAGTCCAACTTCAGCTCAGTCTGCATCAGAGAATGTGGGTTCTTCCAGATAGAGGCCTTCTAGCACTGCAAATCAAAAGGCCTTGTGCAACAATTCATTTTTTGTTCCTTTCTTCTGGTAAAAAGCTATGGGAAATAGGAAGCCCTACAAATTGGAGGTGATATCACCAGGGCAAACTCACCCCATAAAATTCTGTGAACAAGGCAAGGCACTTGCACAATCAAAGCCTTGTCTACAAGTACCATTCCCATGCTGTTGTGATCAGAGTGTGTCAGATGAGGAACTAGGTGTCTAAGGTTTAAATCCCTTTTCAGCCTAGCCTACCAGCCTGGCTTGTTATGAAGATAAGGGATGGGGTAAATTCCTTGAAGGGAAAGGGTTAAAAGAGAACTACCAATATATAAGTAAAAGAACACCTGTAGCACACCTGAAAACCCAGTATTTGGAAGAGACTGCAGAGGGAAAGTTTAATGTGAGAGCCAGTGTGGTATAGTGGTTAAGAGGACGGGACTGGGACTCAGGCGATCTGGGTTCGAGTCTCCGCTCAGCCATGGAGCCAACTGGGTGACTTTGGGCCAGTCACAGACTCTCAGCCCAACCTACCTCACAGGGTTCTTGTTGTGGGGTAAGATGGAGGAGGAGAATGATGTAAGCTGCCTTGAGCCCTTTGTAGGAAAAAGGCAGGATATAAATCAGAAAAATAAAAAAAAATAAAAAAATAATAATGCTAACATCTGCTGCTGCCAGGATTCACAATGTTCCAGGTGGCCTGATGAGCTCTTTTACAGGAAAGTTCTCATTTGAAGAAATGGTCAGTCCAAGGCCAGCTGAAAGGCAAGGAACCTCAGAAACTCTTCAGAGGTGAGGCTTAAAGTTGCTCATCAACAACACCAAGGCAACAGTCTGAACAGGACGTCACACACTCTTCTGCATGTGGGGGAGATGTACCCCACTTCCATTTAGCTTACAGTAAGCATTCTGGTATTTGCATACCAGCACCACACGTATTTTATGCAAATCGGTGTCCCCTTCGGGGCGAATGTTAAGGACACCCTCCGGTGTGCTGCCTGCTAGCCTGCCTGGCCATGCGACCCACGAGCCGGTACCCCACCGCCCCAAGCCGCACTTCCTCTGCAGCGCCACCTACCAGCCTCTCCAGCATCCTATGGCTCTGCTCGTCCGTGCAGCGTCCAGAGAAGAAGAGGCCACCGCGCGCCAGAAAGAGGAGGAGGAGGAGGAGGAGGAGGAAGACGCCCCCTACAGCCCAGCAGGAGCAGAGCGCCACGGAGCCTCGCCGGCTGCAGCCCAGCCTCGCTCGCAGCAGGCGCTTGAGGCTGCGCATCCCTCGAAGGTAAGGCGTCCCGGCTGTTGCAGCCACCGGTACCTGCTGCGGTGCCCGCTCAGCCCGAGCAGCAGCGGCGGCGGCGGCGGCGGGCAGGAGGAGGACGAGAGTGCGCGGGATCCATCAGCGGCGCCGGACAGCCTCGGGCTGCTTCCAGCCCAGCGTCGAGGGCTCCCCCGGCGTGTTCAGAGGAGAGCGCGGAGGCTTGGGCACGGCTCGCGCCAGCGCCGCGCTTGCCACGTCCATGCCCCGATGGGCGGCCGAGAGCAGCGGCAGGCGAGGAAGCGCTGCCCGGCCCCGGGGTCCCAGCGCCCCGCGCCGCCGAGCAAGGACGCGCGCCTCGGCTCGTGCTTCAGCGCGCACTGCCAAGGCGCTGGGCGCTGGGGAGCCCTCTCGCCGCTGCCTGTGCCGCGGGAAGCCACGTAGTTCCGCCTTCTTTTGTCTGCTGCGTCCCCGGACGGTTCGGGGGCAGCTCCCCGGCAAACTTTCACATAGCAGAAGGAAGGAAGCGAGGGATGCTTGTGCCTCGTCTGAATCTAGGGGGCTGATTGGCACTTTCGAAGAGGCAGTTCCCCTGCCCTGGAGTATGTGGCTCGTTCCGTGTGGCAGGAAATAAGAAGGCTGAACCTATTTAGCTATCCCAGTTAGCTATCCCAATACGCTCTAACGCCCCGAGTGCGCTTCCCAGAACAAATATACACATTTTAAAGTCATGCTTATATACACATGAGTATAACTTCCGTCCACGTTTCTTTCAACCTTTTCATACTTCGTTTTTCCTCCTTTTCTGCGTTTTATAAGTTCACTTCTTCCTTTCATCTCTCTCTCTCTCTCTCTCTCTCTCTCTCTCAATCCTAATCATTAGCACTTTTAGCATAAGTGAAAATGCCAATCACAAATTGTTCCAATGTAAACGAAAACAATAAAACAAACCAAAGTGTGAATTATAGTACAATCCTATAGGAGTCTATTCGGGAATAAATCCCATTAAGTTCCATTACGTTCCAAAGCGTTAAGGGCTGCTTTCATACAAGCCGGTCACACTGGGTCCCCAATAACATCCAAATCACTTGTGCAGCTGTGTGTTCTCACAATGGGACTAGCCAGGATAGCAGTTGCTGGTGTTACTGGTACAAGGCTGTGCAAGATCTGTATGAAATTGGTTTGCAGGAAGCACTCATACCGTTCCATGGTGACCAGAATCCTTTATAACACCATCCTGTGTTTATTCAGACCTGGGCCAATTCCCAGGTAAATATGGCTGGGGTTACAGCCTTAATATATGTGGCAGCCAGCAGTCCCCCATCCATACCCACCTTTCTTGTTTCAGCACTAGAGCTCCATCATGGGCCTTCCAGTGATTCTCAGGGCTTCTCCTTAGAAATAAACTTGGAAAGAAGGGAGGAAAGAAAGAAAGATACCAGGAAGCAGGAAGTGACAGGAATCACTATCCATCTTTTGCTAAGTTCCAAGTATTTTGCACACAGGCTCACAGAAATCCTTATGACAACCTTGTAAAATAGGCTACCAATGCCATGCTGTTATTAGAGGGAAAGAGTGGGGGCTGGCTCTAAAAATGGTGGATTAGATTACCTTCCAGGTGTTGAAACCTTAACAAATAAAAAGGTAACAGAATCAGAGGCAGAGCCTGAAGCAAAATTATAACCACTGGTGAGATGTATGTGCCAATATAGCATCACATTCAGACATTCCCTAAAAAAATCTTTTAGAATCATGGAATAGTAGAGTTGGAAATGGCCAGAAGGCCATCAGGTCCAATGGCCTGAGTATTGCAGGACACCAGGTTAAACCATCCCTCCCAGATGGCTGCCCAGTTGCATCTTGAATGCCTCTAGTGTGGGAGAATGTTTGGCATTAGAGATAGACTCCGATAAGCACACACCATTTATCTTGTTCGCAGGCCCATCAGAGATCCTTTTCTACATGGATAGAACATAATGGAAACAGCATTTTGTTCTCAAAGGCTATCCTGACAAAGATCCCTTACCACACAATGCAGGGCTGAAGAAATTTCTGAGGCATTCAAAAGGCTTTTGCTGGAAAGCTGGTGGGGAGACAGAAACCTAGATTAAAAATGCTGCAAATGATGCACAAGACCTAAAGCTTTCTTTAGGCTGGTGAGAAGAATGGAAGTGAGAAGCAGAAAACAAAAGCTCTACTATGCTCTCTTAAGACGCCCTAGAGGCTGAAACCTTATCACAAGCCACTTTTTCTCTCTCTAATCAGGGGGCCTTTTTCTAACCTCTTCATGCCCTTTCATTCCTTGCTCCCATTAGCAGCCTGCCTGCTAAGCCAGCCAGAAACCAGCCACCTTAATATTAAGCAAATTATATCAACTGTGAATAACAGGGATGGCAGCAGTAAGGACTGAGAACTGTAACACTGACATTTTCAGTGCTGCCTCTAACACAGTTTTGTTTGGTTTTCAATCACTGTTTGTTTTCCTAACAGTTTTATTGCTGGAGGTGCTTTGTTTGTTAGTTTTTCAGAATAGCCTGTTAGCTGACTGGAGGCTCACTCCTTTCCTCCTCAGATATTTCAGCTTTAAACTCATATGGTGAGAAGAAGCTTTCAAAATAAATAAATAAATAAATGTGGCATCTAAATATTTTACATAAGTAACTAAGAGGCTACCAAGTCCAATACTTCCTCATCAGCCTTCATAGATCAACCCACACACTCAAGCAAGTGAGTGACATGATGACACAAGCAAATGTCTCATGTCACACCCTGTGGAGGAAGGCAAAATATCCCTGTCATTCTTGGCCTGTGGAAAAGTTTGGGTTAGTACTGATCTCTCCTGATCTGTTGAATAGCATCAGGGAGGTCCTTGTCAGGGCCTAGTCTAGAACAACCATCTGCAAACTGCTATTTTCCAGATGTGTATACATGGGCAACGCCCTTGCTGGGTGGAAATAACAGATGTTGGGGTTTAACACACCCAGAAGGAAAAGGCCTAGTCCTTAATCTTCCAGAGCTTCCTCTTGTTAAGGTGATTTCTAACCATACATACTGACTAGGTTCAGGCAGGGGCTGGGTATGGTTTCAATGTGGGTTGTCAAACCATCGGTTGTCTAGAATCATAGATTAGCAGAGTTGAAAGGGGCCATGAAGGCCATTGGGTCCAGCTCCTGCTATTGCAGGAAAGGTAAAAATCCGAGCAAAGGTAAAAAAACCCAAAACAAACCCATAGTGAATGTGGGTTGTCTAACACTAGCAAAGGTAAAATACCATAGTGAAAAATAAACCATAGGTTCTCTTTACAGGCTGTTTGTGGTTAAGACAATAACAATATTGATAACAATATTAAGATGATATTGATTTTTATATTAATAAAAATCAATAAGAACCCAGAGTTAGCCCATATTCAACTCTTGTATGTGGGTTATGTTGTGGTCTGAACCAGTTGCCATGTTTCACCAAGCTGCTCGATTCAAGCACATTGCCCTTTTGTAATCGCTATGGCAGTTCAGTGGCTTAAGTCTTGGAAGGATAAATGTGCATCATAACCTGTGAAAATACAAAAGGCTACACTTGTGCAGGCTTGACATGAATGGATTTTATATTTTCATAGGCAACAAAGATGTATTCCTCAACTTTATGTAGTATTGTGGCTGTTGATTCCAACAAACTTATGTGATTGTTCAACATTAAAAGATTTAAATAATGCATTTAAATTCACATATGCAATTAAATAATGCATATGTGTTCATAAGTGGGAAGTGTAGAGGAATCAAAGCTTCATAGGCTAAAGGAAGAAGCAGTATATCGCTCACACAGATTGGCAGTGTTGGTAGCTCTTTCTCCTGACCCGATTAAAGACCTGTTACTGCTGCGTCTCAACCTCTGATCCCTGTAGATTGCCTGCCAATAAGCAAACTCAGTGCCACTGTGATGGAACGACTGGAGAAAGAAGAGAAAGGCACCAGCCCACTCAGGAGAATCCTAAGGGTTCCAGAAACACAAATGTGTATGAACAACAAAAACTCCTGAACAAGACAAATCCACTCAGCCCCCAGATGAGCAGCTTTTGGCAGAACCTTGATCAGAGTCCATCTACATAATCTCCCTGACAGAATATAACATTTGACTAGCTGATTCTCTTTTGACTTTTCTGGTTTTCCTTGTCTGCTGCTGCTTTTCTTTTGTTGGTGTTCTGATTCTTGATGTTTTTACTTTATTTGCTATAGGTAATGTCACTCCTTGGGTTGTTTTTATTGTACTGTACATCTGCTGTTAACTGCATGCAACTTTTGTTTGTTTTAAATAAAGGATCAAATAAGTATCATTTCCTGGGAATCTTTTTCTTCTAGAGACGTTTAATTGCATTCCTGTTGCATTTCAGACCTCTTTCTAGTGAAACCATGTTTGAATAGGTGGAGGATCTGCTATAAAACACGTTAAAATGAATGCATCATTTCACAATGAATGTATTGTGTTAGCTATAAAACTGGAGGAAGTTATATATCTTCTGTGCATGCATTTTTATCCCATCATTATTCCCACCACCTCTGGGCAACATACATAACGGCCATGCAGGTTCAGACAAAGGCTCATCCAGTCCAGCACTCCACACAGTGGCAAACCATCTGTCCACACAAGCAATAAGCTAAGGAAGAAACAAGGGGGTGGCAAAAGACAGTTTGGTGTAGCAGTTAGAGACTGATTTGTCAGAACCGTGTTCTGGTCCCCACTCAGCCATGGAGCCAACCGGATGACTTTGAGCCAGTCACACACTCTCAGCCCAACCTACCTCACAGGGTTGTTGTGAGGACAAGATTGATAGGAACAAGATCATTATGTTAGCCACTTGAGTTCTTTGAAAGGGAAAAAGGTGTGATATCAGTAAAATAAATAAGTAAATCATAATAAACCAGCCAGAGATGTTTGGTTATCATCATAGAGATGATGATGATGATGATGATGATGATGACGATGACGATGACGATGGAAATGGATGGATGGATGGATTTGGAAAA